CATGTGAGATGAGTGCAATTGTGTGGTAGTTTGAACATTCTTTGGCACTAGCATTGCCTTTCTTTGGGATTGGAATGAAAACTGACCTTTTATAGTCCTGTGTCCACTGTTGAGTTTTTCAAATTTGCTAGCATATTGAGTGCAGAACTTTAACTTCACTCCAGCATCATCTTTTAGGATTTGAAATAGTTCAACTGGAATTCCATCACCTCCATTAGCTTTCTTTGTAGTGATGCTTCCTAAGGCCTGTTTGACTTCACATTCCAGGATGTCTGACTCTAGGTGACTGATCACACCATCATGGTTATCTGGGTCATTAAGGCCTTTTTTGTATAGTTCTGTGTATTCTTGCCTCCTCTTCTTAATATCTTCTGCTTCTGTTAGGTCCATACTATTTCTGTCCTTTATTGTGCCCATTTTTGCATGAAATGTTCCCTCGATAGCTCTAATTTTCTTGAAGAGATCTCTAGTCTTTCCCATTCTACTGTTTTCCTCTATTTCTTTGCATTGATCACTTTAGGAAAGCTTTCTTATCTCTCCTTCCTACTCTTTGGAACTCTGCATTCAGATGGATATGTCTTTTCTTTTCTCCTGTGCCTTTTGCTTCTCTTCTTTTCTCAGCTATTTGTAAGGCCCCCTCAGACAACCATTTTGCCTTATTGCTTTTCTTTTTCTTGGGGATGATTTTGATCACCGCCTCCTCTACAATGTTATAAACATCCATCCATAGTTCTTCAGGCACTCTATCAGATCTAATCCCTTGAATCTATTTGTCACTTCCACTGTATAATCTGTAAGGGATTTGATCTAAGTCATACCTGAATGGTCTAGTGGCTTTCCCTACTTTCTTTAAGTCTGAATTATGCAATAAGGAGATCATGATCTGAGCCACAGTCAGATCCCGGTCTTCTTTTTGCTGACTGTTTAGAGCTTCTCCATCTTTGGCTGCAAATAATATAGTTAATCTGATTTTGGTATTGACCATCTGGTGATGTCCATGTGTAGTCTTCTCTTGTGTTGTTGGAAGAGAGTGTTTGCTATGACTGGTGCATTCTCTTGGCAAAACTCTGTTAGCCTTTGCCCTACTTCATTTTTGTACCCCAAGGCCAAACTTGTCTATTACTCCAGGTATCTCTTGACTTCCTACTTTTGCATTCCAGTTCCCTGTGATGAAAAGGACATCTTTTTTTGGTGTTAGTTCTAGAAGGTCTTGTAGATCTTCATAGAACCGTTCAAGTTCAGCTTCTTCAGCATTAGTGGTTGGGGCACAGTCTTGGATTACTGTGATATTGAATGGTTTGCCTTGGAAACGAACAGAGACCATTCTATCGTTTTTGAGATGACATCCAAGTACTGCATTTCAGACTCTTTTGTTGACTATGAGGGCTACTTCATTTTTTCTAAGGGATTCTTGTTCTCAATAGTAGATATAATGGTTATCTGAGTTAAATTCACCCATTCCGGTCCATTTTAGTTCACTGATTCCTAAAATGTCAATGTTCACTCTTGTCATCTCCTGTTTGACCACCTCCAATTTACTCTGACTCACGGACCTAACATTCCAGGTTCCTATGCAATATTGTTCTTTACAGCACCGGACTTTACTTCCATCACCAGTTACATCCACAATTTGTCTCTCCCAAATTGAAGGAGGAGAAATTAACTTTCCATGCCTCTAACTTTCCCTTCCACTCTGCTCCTCTCTCTGACACTTCTGGTCAGACCTCTAGGACGTGTAGCTCACAGGCGTAGCTCTGCTTGCCCTGTGTCCCCAGCCTCATCCCAGCCTCCCAGCCCAGGTGGCAGCTCCAAGGAGCACCTTCAGCACTGTCTTCCCAGCTTCTCCAAGGCCTTTCTGAGGGTTGGTGGCCCCCCACCTCGCTAACCCCTCTCCTGCTTCCTCTCACTCCTTCAAGCTGCCCTGGATTTCTCTTCTTGCTCCACCTTAAGGAGGGAAGAAGGGACACGTCTAGCTGCCTTGTGTTCATCAGGGTGGGCAGACATCTGGGGACACATAACCCAGGACTGGAGGCTCACTTCACAGTCACTGAGGGCCTTTCTCACTTGACAAAGTTGTGTGGTATCCCCTGGATGAGTTTCTACCTGACTTGAGGGAGCAAGGTCCTTCCACCTGTGATAGCACCATCCACGCTCTAGGAGAGGTGAGGCCCTCCAGAAGGCACTGAAAACTCAGCCACCACTCAGCCTCTCACTCCAGCCAATGCACAGAGGCCAGGAAGACAGTGGGGCTGAACCGTCTTCCTGTGGGACCCTACACCCCAGGGTGGGTGTAGAGGAACTTCTGGGAATCAGCAGCACCTCTGCCACAACCTGCAGGCAGTATCTCCCCTCAGATCATTCCCTTTATCTGCAGACAGACAGCTCAGTGCCTCCCAGTTCTGCAGCCATCTCCAGGTTAAACACACTCACTCTACAGTTTTCTGTGCTCTGACATCTAGCCCCAGGTCTGGGGGAGCACAGGTTACAGGGCCTCTATGTGAAGAAGCTGGGCCCACAGAAACAACTAGGGAGCCCCACTTTGTGGAGTCTCATTTTCACCACAGTACATGCAATCTAAAGTCCCAAAACTTTTCCGTCATTCTTCAGTAATCAAAGTCTGCTGTTCTTTAAGGTCATTATTTAAAGTTTCATTTCATGAAGAAGGAAATGGCAGCCCACTCTGGTATTCTTGCCTGGGAAATCCCAGGAACAAAGGAGCATTTATGGGGTCCCAAAAGAGTCAGACATGACTTAGTGACTAAACAATAAGAATAAAAACAAAGGAAATACAATTGATTTTGTATATTGTTCTTCTTTCTGCAAGCTTCTTAATTCCATTTAATCTAGTACTTTTTTTTTTTAGACTTCATCAGATTTTTCATGTAGAAATTGTCTAAGGGTAGGGACTTTGTCCTGCTCATCACTGTATTTCCAGCACTGACAAGAGTGCTTGTATAGGTAGATACACACAAAAAAATTGTTAAATGGATGGATATACTCACTGTATAGACTGTAAGCTGTGAGAGGGTTAGTTAGTTCAGTCACTCAGCCGTGTTGCACTCTTTGCGACCCCATGGACTGTAGCACGCTAGGCTTCCCTGTCCAACTCCCGGAGCCTACTGAAACTCATGTCCATCACATCGGTGATGCCATCCAACCATCTCATCCTCTGTTGTCCCCAACTCCTCTCGCCTTCAGGACATTTTATTTTGTTCTCTGGAGCATTTCCCAGTGCCTGGAATAGAATCTGGCATATTGAAGGTGCTTAATAAATATCTGGTGACTGACTGAAAATAAAGAAATAAATAAAAGTCTCATTTCAGTGACTAGAATGCCCAGTCCTGTGTGAGTGGTCAAGGTAACCTCCTGCAGTGGCAGAAGGGACTTGGTTCTGCATCCATTTCTTCAGTCTTCAAAGAGTCAAGGAGGAAAGAGCTGGATATGGGGTTCTCACCTGATCAAAACTGCTGAAATCCACATTCTCTGTGCTTTGCAAGTGTTTGGAGTTGACACGTCCTCTCCCCCTCCCCTCCCCCCAGGGATCATTGTGTGTGACCTTCATCCTGAGCCCCAGGAATCCCACGGTCACCTACCTGTGGGCCACATCACCTCTGGCACAGTCCATCTGGAGAACCAAGAAGCCCCACATCAGCTCTCTTTCCCAGGCATTAAGGAGCCTTGAACAGCAATGGGAATGCAGACCCCAGTGTGGAGATCACCATGATCCCTGCACTACCCACCCACTTAGCTCAGTCTTGCCTTAGGACTTCCTGGGGACCCTCTTTCTACCTGAAGGGGCTTTCCTCTGGTCAAGACAGACATCCAGTCAAAAACCAGCACAGAAGCACTGACCTTGTTAAAACCACTCTTTCTCAATCCTCCACATATGACTGTCTAGTGTTTTTCCTATTTATTAATTAGTTTGTTTGTTCATTTTATGCCCCACCCCTAGTGGAATACAAGCTCCCGGCACCTAGCAGCGCTCTGAACACGGTTGTTGATGTTCGGTTGCTAAGTCGTGTCTGTCTGACTCTTTGAGACCCCATGGACTGCAGCACGCCAGGCTTCCCTGTCCTTCACCATCTCCTGCAGTTTGCTCATACTCATGTCCATTGAGTCGGTGATGCCATCCAACCATCTCATCCTCTGCCGCCCCCTTCTTTTTTTGCCTTCAATCTCTCCCAGCATCAGGGTCTTTTCCAATAAGTCGGCTCTTTGCACCAGGTGGCCAAAGTATTTAGGAGCTCAATAAAAACTGCTTAGCATGTTCATCATATGGGACTGTTAAAGGTGCCCAACAGTAGGTGTAGTACAAAAAGGTCATGGATGGGTGAGCAGGGACCCAACACTTAGAACCTGCTTGCAGGGAAGTGTGGGTGGAGTTCTGGCAGCGCCTCGCAAAGTGGTTTCCTGGCTGGTGAGGGTGAAAGGTGGAGAGTGAAGGGTACAGAGAAGAGGATACAGTCAGTCCTCAACAGACAGTTCTTTAGAAGTTTTGCTGAAGCGGGGACAAGACAAGGTGTGGCTGAAATGAAAGGTTTGTGTGTTGTGATGCTGTGTGAGGCTGTGGGGTTGGGGGAGAAGCAGCTGCAAAGGAAGAAGAGTCTGAAGACAGGAGGCAGGTGGAGCAGAGGAAGGTGCAGGCAGGGTTAGTGGGGGCCTTAGCCCTGAGGCAGGAGGCAGGACCCTGGAAGTCCTTCTTGGTGCCTTCAGCCAAGGCCTTGCCTCTCTGGGCCTCCATCGTTTCATCTGCACCCAGAGGCAACACAGCAATTGTTAGCTTCAGGACCTCTCTGAACAGCACGGTACCTGGCACAGTAATAATACAAGTAGTCACAGTCGTTGTCACTTTCATCCCTGTGACGTTGGGAGGAAGGGCACGAGAGCCGATGTGGCTGCAGAGAACCCGGTGGGCCTGGGGCCTGGGCCGGGACGGGCGGTTTCCTCAGTGGTCCGGGAGGAGCCAGCCACGCCTCCCAGACCTGCAGCTCCGGAGCAGCTCACTGGGACCTCTGCCCGGGCGGCAGAACCAAAGCCAGGGACACCCAGGCTCTGCAGGCCGGACTCGGGCCTGGGTCCAGCGGAATCGCCTGGTACCTGCGCGCCAGGCCAGGCCGGAGGGCCGGGAAGAGAAGGGTTAAGCGGCGCGGCCTCGGGGCCCAGGGGTGTGAGGCGGGGCGGGGTGGGGGGGGCGGGGGCGAGCCGCAGGCGCGTGGCCGCGATTGGCTGGGGCACATGCCCGGGGGCAGCTGCGGGCGGATGGCCGCCCAGACTTCCTGGACGCGCCTGGCGCCTCCGCCGCGCCGCCGCTGGCGACCTCGGGGGACGTGCCTCCGGCTGCCCGGGGACAGCTCCGCTCCCGCGCCGGCCCCCAAGCCCCGCCCGCGGCTGGCGGGCGGCGGGGACTGTCTCTCTAGGGGCTTGTCAACCGCAGTGACAACGCCGCCGCCGGCGCCGCCCACGCGTGCTGCTAGGGCTGATGCCCACCAACCAGCCAGCACCTCTCCCCTAACGGCCGAGTGTGTCCAGAAGTCCATCCGCGGGGCAAGCCGCTGGCCCCGTGGAGCCAAGCGGGTGAGCCCCTCTTTAGCAGATCGCTTTGGCTGCCCATACCTGCAGCGGGGAGGGGGCTGGTTCTGGAAGCTCCAGGACCTTATATTACATAACAGATGAGGGGGTGAACTTGCTCGCCAGCACCCTCCAGCCGGTCGGACAGCACCCAACTTGATGCTAAAGCTCAGCTTCTCTGCACACTGGGGTTAGATGGGGTCTGAAATCTCGGAGAGAGTATTGGGTGCAGTAGAAAAGGACACAGGCTAGGACAGGTCTCCCATGAAAAGACACAGACCAGGCAAAGGGGGACATGGTGGAGTCTTGCTTCGAAAAGCTATGCATCCCACCCAGGAGGAGTTGATAAGCAGTTTATTCTGGCCTAGAGAATTCCATGGACTGTATAGTCCATGGGGTTGCAAAGAGTCGGAACAGGACTGAGACTTTCACTTCATAACAATACTTCCCAAGGGCAGGGCTGTGGACAAGATTAAGGTGTGTGCAGAGTCTTGGTGAGTTTCTCTGGTCCTTTTAATCTTGCCTCAGGTGGTTTCTGAGGCAACTGTTCTAATCTGCCCTTTGGAACTCAGGGCAGGTCACGAAGGCTAGGGTCTTGCCAGTGAGAAATGGTGGAGGAAAAAAGAGAGCTCTGTGCTGGAGAGCCTCACAGAGCCCCGCAAGGTTTCACACTGTGGCCAGGGATCTCAATGGTGGATGCGCAGGTCAGCACCCCCTCCCAGGCCCACCCGCAGCTGTTCAGACCAGAATCCTAACAGGAACTCCTGGAAGAGGCTCTAGAAAACCCCAAACCAGCCACCAAGAGTTGATAAAGTCTCAATTGTCATTTTGAAAAGTATTGGTTTGCTCATGCTGGTGAGATAAGCACTGTTGAAAAAGATATAATGCATAGCGAATTTCATTGCGAATAGAAAGATGGAGCTGATGCTCCTGGGAAAGACTATGGCAGTTTTCAGAGTAAAGTTTCTCCACCTTTTTTTGGCCTGGACATTGCCCCTGCTCTACCTTCTATGTAGGACCCTCTGAACCTCAGCCCTGGATACGGTTAGAGGACATCATGCCTGCCTTCCTTCCTGGGTTCCCATGGGAGACCTGGCCTAGTCTGTGTCCTCTGCCTCCTCCACTCCCCTCCCACTCTGCCCTAGCCTACTACCCTGTGTGTGGCTCCTACCTCTTCAGCCCCCCGGCTGCCTTGCCTTTGTAAAAGGGGAGGAATTTCCTTGGAGAGGGAGGCAGTGAGGCGATCACCTGCCCCGCTCCCTCATCTATCACCCTGAACTGTGTTTCATGATAAAATTTCTCATCCACAGCCAGTGATAAATGGAATCAGCTCAGAGGAGACCATACCTGGTGGGGGTGGGAGGGGTGGGGATGCCTCATTCAGGGTTTCTGGGCCTGGGTGAGGGAAACCCAGGTAAATTGTTTCTCTGTGTTAACACACAACCTGGAAAGAGCCAACGTAGTGGATTTGTGTTACCTGATCTGTACTGTTGGTAAGAAGGCATGCATATGTGATTCTGTGTGCTCTGAACCAGCTTGTTAACCCCGCAGAGTGATGGCGCAGGGCTGAGGGCGTGGTGTGTGGAGCCCAAGCCTTGGAGGGAAAGCAGTAGGGATTCAGAATACAGGCATGGTAGCCAGGTGGGTACTGAATAAGACCCCAGAGCAGAGAAGCTATATCCCCAGTGGAAGCTGCTGTGAAACTGTGTAACTCAGGTTGGAACCTGAACCCACGGTCTTCCAACTGAGATCATACACCTGGTCTTAGGACTTAATGAAGCTCAGGTTCTTACTGTCTCATTGCAGAAAGAATTCAGGGAGAGACAAAGTGATAGGTAAGAAGTAGATTTATTTAAAGAGAAACACACTCCACAGACAGTGTGGGCCATCTCAGAAGGCAAGAGCAGCACCAGAGTGTAGGGGTTGTCAACTTTTATGTTGTTGTTCAATTGCTAGGTCGTGTCTGACTCTTTGCAATCCCATGGACTGCAACAGGCTAGGCTCCTCTGTCCTCCACTATCTTCTGGAATTATCTCAAATTCATGTCCATTGAGTTAGTGATGCTGTCTAACCATCTCATCCTCTGTTGCCCACTTAGAGTTGAATAATTTCATAGGCTAATGAGTGTACTGTTGGTAAGAAGACATGCATATGTGATTTTGTGAGCTCTGAACCAGCTTGTTAGCCCTTCAGAGTGATGAGGCAGGACAGGGGGAGGGTGGGGAGTGGGTTGGTAAAGAATCTGCTGTCAATGCCAGAGACCTGGGTTTGATCCCTGGGTTGGGAAGATCTCCTGGAGAAGGGAATGGCTCCCCACCCCAGTATTCTAGCCTGGAGAATTCCATGGACTGTATAGTACGTGGGGTTGCAAAGAGTTGGACACGACTCTTTCATTCTAGCTGTTTGGGGAATGGGGTGGGGATTTCCAGAAATTGGGCCACTGCTCACGCTTTGACCTTTATGGTTGGCCTTGGAACTGTCATGGCACCTGTGGGTGTGTCATTTAGCTTGCTGATGTATTAGAGTGAGTGTATACTGAGGCTCCTGGTCTAGTGGAAGTTGACTTGTCCGCCATCTTGAACCTATTTGGTTCCAACCAGTTTATGTCATGTCCTAGGTCCCTGCCCCCTTCCCTCCTGTTTCAGCTAGAGGAATCAGAAAAATGGGGTAAGCCACAGAGTGGGGTGCTAGGGCAGACAGGAGGAGGGGCTGGGTGTCAGAGCCCAGCCTGCTGCCAAGGGAGGGAAGCAGGCAGCTCGTGGGCTTACAGGCAGGATGACGGGAGAGAGCACCTCTAGCAGCTTTAGGTATCAGATGAGCCCCTGGTCCTCCAAACAGGAGCCTCCAGGCCTTTAGGTATCCAGACCTCAGGCAACTCTCAGCACCAGTCCCAAACAGCAAGATGATGGCCAATGGCTCCTCTGGGTCCCCTGCTTTCTTCTGCTTTTAGCCCAGGAATCCAGGAGAAGTCCTTAAGCTAGTAACTAAGGAGTTAATTAATAATCAAAGTGATGAGCTGGAGCAAGCTTGACCCAGAGCAGCTGAGGGTTTGTTTGATTAAAGCCCAGAGGTCCAGAGGATGGGACCACAAAGCTATTCTGCCTCCTGCCAGCTGTCACCTGTAAAAGGAGGTGAAAAGAGCATCTACGTTGTAGGTTGCCCTCAAGGCACCTGAGATTATGCTTGTGAGATGCTGAGTCATTATGACACGTATTTCTAAGGTCTCCTGACTGCCAGCTGGGGCCAGGAGAGGAGACCCCTCTGGGGCTCACAGTTCAGGTGGGAATATTGGATTCCTATGCAAGTCAGAGTCTGAGTTCTGGAAATGCAGACATGTGTGCTCACAAGTTCAAGTGACGATGTCCTTGTCGGTCTGGAGAGATCCAGAAGGCTTCATAGAGGAAGTGGCATTTGAACTGGCATCAAAAGATGAGTAGGAGTAGATGGAGGGGATGTTCTGGGATATGCACGGTCCCTCAGCTCCTGTGGGGCTCTGGCATGTGGGTCTCTGCCTGCTCCAAGAGGAGGGTCAGAGTTTCTTTTCTCTGATTCCCACTCGGGGAAGAAAGGGCTATGTGAACCGCCCACTTTGTCCCGGGGGTGCAACACTGTGTGGCACAGAGGCAGGCTCAGTGCTGGCTGAACAGCTCAGGAGCTGTGGAGTTAGTGAGTCAGGAAATAACAAGTCAAATGCTTCAGCAGTACCCAAGAGGGGAGCAGGGAAACAGCAGGGCCTGGGGAGCTGCCCAGCCAAGGAGGCCTAAGCTTCTAACAAGGGAGCAAGCATGGGACAAGGCAGGGTCCCACCTGAGAGCCAGCCCAGAGCTGGAAGAAACACCGGGGCAGAGTCTGTGGTGTCTGTGCTGTTTGGGTGCCGAGGGTCTCAAAGCCACTGCCTTTGAGGACAGTGTCTCCCAGGAGTCACAGTGGCTTTCATGGTCCACAGGGGTGGGTGGGAGCAGCATCCTCCCACCAGAGAGCATCCTCAGAGGCTCTAACTTGTAGCTGGCTGTGTGGAACGTAGGTGGCATTTTGAACTAGGCTCTTTTTCCATGCTCTCTCTGGGAGTTTTACCTACCACTTGATGAATTTTACCTACCCCACAGACAGAAGAAACATAGCCCCTTTTATGACCAAAACTCATATGGATGGCACCCTCTCTTCCACTCCACTCTGGTCCACCACCTTCCACGCTGCTCAGGAACAGCCCATCCATCTGCAGAGCTGGGAGCCAAGGGCTGCCTGCAGGTCAGACGTCTGCCTCCGCTGGGAACCATGCCCCAGGGTGCTCCTGTGGCCAGAGGACCAGCCTGAGAGAATTCTCCCTGAGCTCCCTCTGTCAGTAGCACCCTGTCCTTGGAGCCCCTCGGCAGTGACACATTGAGATCCAAACCCACCTATGTTTCAGACAGCGGCCACTCCAAGCCAAAGCCTGGTGCCACCAGCCCTACCTGTGTCTCGTGTGTGACAGGCTGCTGCTCATACAGTCCACAGAGTGCACCTGTGGATAAACCGGGGTTTTCCAAGATTAAATTTCTTCTCCCAGTGACTATCACTGGGGTGCTGGTGATGCAGTCTTCCCCACTGATGGATGGAACCCTGGTCCTGGGCCCGCTGGCTTCTCCCCAGAGTGGACTCAGCCTCCCTCCTAGCTCTCGCTGCTCCAGACACAGGGTGCACTTACACAGCTAACATGCTATAGCCAACTCCCTCCTCCCATGTCCTCCTGGTCCACTTAGTAAAGCCACCAGCCACCCATGGCAGCAGGGGTAGGCCTGAGGGCCTGGAGCTGGAAGTGGCCAACAGAGGACAGGCTAAGGGTGCTGCAGACAGCATGGCTTCCAGGCCCTTGACTATGGAGCCCCCTCTGATGCCCTTGCCCTGGGACGTCCCAGCCTTTACCAGGCTGTGGTGAATTGGCAAGTGACGGGGCAGAGGGTTGTACAGCAACAGAGGTCTTTTGTGCAGCAGGTTGAACAGGCCACGGGGCCCAGACACTCAGAAAACACCTGCCAAGAGACTCCCTTGTACCAGGCCCTGCACCAGTGTGGGGCACCTTGTGAATTCATGGACAGGCACTCTGA